AAATGTTCAATGAAAGTACTGATTGCTGTTATCTCTGGCTGATAGAATTCCCTTCAGTCTCAGAGGTCTTATGCATATAATGAAGTTATAATTCGCTATCTGCACAGTGTCCTCGCGATCTCTCTCTCTTGCCCCTCCCTTTACCCATGACTCTCTCTGTTAGCTGTCAGCTAGCTGTGCTAGAGGCTAACATCATGAATCCACAGGTACTCACATATGAAACCGCTGGCCCAGAATCCCGCTCTGCACCCCCTCTCACAGTGGGAAGTAGGTCACAGCTGTTACTGTGTGGTTCTCCTCACCTAGTGCAGAGGCCTCCCATTCATCAGAGACTGTGGCAGATTAGAAAGCTTTGTCTTCTTTATCTTGCTCACCCTCTTTAATATGACCAGAGTCATTCGAGTTTCATAGTTTTTTGTTACTTCCCTTTCTATCACTCACTCCTTTCCTGTGTCCAGATGATGAGGAACACTTGTTGTAGCAACTATTCAGATAGACATTGCCATGGAAAATATAGTAAAATTGAGTGACTTACAGTACTCTTTCTAACCAATACTTGTTACTCTTTACGTTGCATCCTAAACAGGTGTGATGTGATGAGACCCATGGCTCAACAATAAGGATGACCCACTGGCCTGGGGCAGTTTGGGGAGAGTTTCAGGCCAGGGCAGTTGAACTGTTAACTGAACTGTCACCTGCCCTGATGGGTCAGTCCTATATCTTAAGTTTGATAAAAAATGTAATGAATGAGTCGACGCCGATAGTCTTGTGGGCAGCATGCTGACATACAGCACTGTTGCGACACAGGTGTCCTGAGTTCGAGTACTGGCTCGTGGACCTTTCCTGATCCCACACCCTCCATCTCTTCCACTTCACCTGCTGTCAGCTCTACACTGTTCTATCATAATAAAGAAAAATCTAAAAGAAAAAAATTACATGAATTAAAAATGTGTAAGAGTAAGAAATTTATTTATTTTTTATTTGTAAAATGAGCAATAAAAATGTAAATATTATACATTTAAGATGATACATTTCCAATTACTATTTTGTTGTTGTTTTAGGGCAAATAAGCAAGTAGAAATTTTAACTACTGGCATGCAAGTGAGCGGGAAAAAAATCCTTATTGTTAAGCTCTGGTGACAAATAACAAGTCATTTCTGTCGACACTCGAAGAAAAGTTCACACAATCCCAGCCAATCAGGATTGATGTAATGTGAAGCAGTATTTTGGACCACTGCAATTTTATTCAAACTAAGTGACTAAGCTTGCTATGTTGGAAAAAATTTTTTTATTAACATACTGTAGGAGAGAAGCTTTTTTTGTTTGATGCTTTATCACATCTCAGGACAAGGCAGGCAACAGGACATTTTTTTGGGGGGTTTCACTTTTATAGGAAACTCTACCGAATACTAAAATAGCACATGTTTGCTTAATGTATGTTCTTATTGGTGCTTTAAGTGAACTTTAAAGTTCTAAGGGTTTGGGGTTGATAAGAAGTTTTAGTGTTTTTGAAGTCTCTGATGCTCGAGGAGACTACATATATTTGATCAAAAATACAGTAAAAACAGTAATATAATACAATTTAAAACAACTGTTTCTAATTTAATGTATTTTAAAATGTAATTTATTCCTGTGATAGCGAAGCTGAATTTTCAGCAGCCATTACTCCAGGGTTCACTGTCATACGATCCTTCTGAAATCATTCTAATATGCTGATTTCTTATCATTATCGATGTTGAAAAAAGTTGTGTCGCTTAATATTTTTGTGAAAATCATGATTTTTGTGGAAAACCTAATACATGATTTTTTTAGGGTTCTTTGATGAGTAGAAAGTTCAAAAGTTCAGCATTTGATTGAAACAAATCTTTTGTAACATTGCAAACGTTTTTACTGTTACTTTTGATCAATTTAATGCATCCTTGTCACTCATTGCCAATGCATTAGTTAATTTTCGTTCAGAGACTGGTTGTTTGCTGTGTCATCCAGACATATGACCCTTCATTAAGTGACTAAACCTCTGTCTTTAGGGAATGGGTACTCCAATGAGGAAGAGGAGGGTGGTGGCGAAGCGGAAGAGGAGGAGGAGGAGGAGGAGGAGGGAAGTGGTGGAGGAGAGGGCAATGAGGGCGATGAGGAAGAAACAGACGAGTGGGAGGAGAATGAACGGCCGAAGATGAACCATACGGAAACGCTCAACTCCACCACCAGCTCCACTGGAACGCAGAAGAAGAAGAGTCACCATGTGAAGAAGCAGGTCCAGGGCTCCAACCAAGTCCAACGCGCACCCAGAGCTCTTTTCTGCCTTAAATTAAACAACCCCATCCGCAGGGCCGCCCTTCACCTTGTAGAGTGGAAGTATCCATTACAACTCAGTCAATGACAGAAAACATAGCTTAAACTACTACTTTTAAGCTTTCAAACAGTTTACCTCTATCTGTTGTAAAAACATGTTGTAACTTGCTAAATAATGCCTGTTGAATGTAATGGCACTCTAATAAGATCACATTCACCTTAACATGTGACTCCAGACCATTTGATATCTTTATTCTTCTGGCCATCTTCGCTAACTGTGTTGCTCTGGGGGTCTCCAAGCCTTTTCCCGAAGACGACTCGAACGCCACCAACCATGACCTTGTAAGTATTGCTCTCTCTCTCTCTCTCTCTCTCTCGAGACTGTGAAATTGGGGTGGTGTGAATTTCAGTTCAGCTTAGAACTGAAAAGGGATTGAAGAACATTCATGGACAACCAACTTCTAGGTTTTTGTGCAAACATTAATGGTAAGTTCCTTCAGTATAGTTCCTTTAGTGTATTTTATTGAACCTTGTGGGAACGCTCAGCTCCACCCCCAGCTCCACCATGAGATATGGTTTGAAAAATTGTATATTGTAAGTAGGTAAAAGTGTGCAATAGCCACCAGAGAGAGCGAGAAGGTGTTTCCCTTCCAGGTGTTGTTTCATAATCAGATATATTGGGATGGTGCCCGGAACAGAGCGCTGACCGAATTCCTGCTGACCCATTTGGGAGGTGAGTTATGGATCTCAGGTGCAGTCAGACTCAGAAGCATGTGTGTTTATGTATTATGTAATATACATTTCTTTTCTAATGGTTTGTCCTAGCTGGTCTTTTCTGGTCTCATTCTGCTGTGTCTTTTGGTAGCTCTCTGGTTGGTTGTTTCCTGTTTCAGATGTGTTGGTTTTGAGCTCTGCTCTTTTTCTCAAAAAACTTTGAAGAGGTTTTTGTTCATTTCTTAGCTAGGTCTATTCTGACTGTAGTTTTACAGTATGTCTAAACAGAAGAACAGTGGCTTTAATTTTGTGTAATATTGCAACCACATGTTCAGAATGGACACAATATTTGTAATTTTTCTGCCCTCAGAATGCTGGTGTGATTTGATTAAAAAAAAAGTTATTAAAACAGAAAAGATAACAGTGGAGTCATTTCAAAGAAAGACATTTGTTGATGCTTGGACAGGAAGACATGATAACTCAAGTTAAGAATGTATGGAACTTTACATTTTATGTAGAATGTAAGCTACTATTGTATACTATTAGTAATAATGTATACTTTTTTGGGGGTCAGTAGTTTTTTTGTTGGTTTTTTTTGCTCCCCAATGCATGTATTTAATCAAAAATATGATAAAAACAGCAATATTGTGACAATTTAGTAATAAGTACTAAAGTTGGTAAAGTTTAGTGTGCATTTTGTTATCCCTCTGAAAATACAAACAAATGCACAGAGAAACACACACATGTCTCTCTCACACACACACACACACACACACAGGGGCATTGACCTCAAGCAAGAGCGTTTTGTCATGTGACTCACTTTAGCCACACTATTTTGAGTCCTACTGCTGTCCCAGTGTCAGAAATTTCTAGAAGCTTTGTACTTTGAATATAACAATTTGAAAATCAGTTGCCATTTTGAGGTAAAAACCCTTCTTTTTTGCTGTTTGATGATGTAGTATTACTCTGTAATCCCCCTCATCTCACAACCTCTCATTGTATCCCATCAGAGAGCGTCACATTTGATCCACTCAGCAGCCATTCTTAAAGGCACAGTTCCCCCAAAATCGAAAATCCAGTCATTGTTTACTCACCCTCATGTTCTTCCAAACCTGCATGACTTTATTTCTTCTGTGAAACACAAAAGAAGACATTTTGAACATTTGTCTCCACCGACTTTCATTGTATGGGCATAAAAGAGACATTTTTGACACGAGGATGAGTAAGTGGTGACATCATTTTCATTTTTGGTTTAAATCTCCCTGTGTTACTGTGATGTTGGCACCTGTATCTGAGACTGTAAGGCTTTAATTTGCTTGCACATTAGTGGCATCGAGGAAACAGAGTGCCTTTTTTATCCACGGCTGCAGTGAGGCATGCAACAATGCGAGGCTGCATGAGCTTGTGCGCACTACAGCTTCATTTGGGCATGCAAAGGTCACTGAGATGAGAGAGAAATCGTAAAACGAAAGAGAAGCTCCCCTAGCTATTGTTTCTCAGTAGGGGTTGGACCAAATGAAACACCTTTTGTTTAAGTCCAGAAATCCTTTCTTCACATCTCGGCACACTAGCACTTTCACTGGACTTTGCCAAATCTTTGCTGATGTGAGCCTCAGAGTTTGTCCCGCTGTCATCTCGAGTGTACAGGCGCGTATGACTGCGCCCCATTCATACTGAAATGCTCGACGTGTTGTGAAGTTCTGCAGTGGAGGGGATCTTCCCTAAGGCTTGTGTGAGAGAAACAGGAAGAGAAAGATAGGAAATGAGAGAGAGGAGACCAATCGAGCTGCATGTGATCAGGACCCTGAACACGACCCCCCTCGGGCATTGCCTCATGCCTGTCCCATCAGAGCACCGCTTTCTTTTTATAGAAAAAGAATTTGCATTCAAATGTAAGAGAAGTGACACCGCAGTGACAAAAGAGCCACAACAGGGCATAATGTGCATCCCAGATGAAAGATCACAGTGTAGTGAGCTGTGAGCTAATGAACGAATGACAGTGTTTTCTTCCAGAGTCAGCTTTTTTTGTGGGGTTGTAATATTCACTCGCTGAATTGCATACAGACTAGATTTACATATCAAGAGAAAAACACCAATGCTTTCTAGGAAGCAGTAATTGCAGTGAGCCTTTGTGTCAACCACTTTGAAACCATTTTCTTTGAAAAAAAAAATCTGAAATATTAGCAAACGGGAACCTAATGGTGACTTACATTTTTATAATAAAACATAGATAAAGAAATAGAGCTAAAATATCTTTTAATTATAGTCCCTCTGCTTTGACCAAACAAACATGACAAACTTATTCAAGTACAAGGGCTTATGGGTATTCCTGAAGTCACAGTGCTTTTCAGTAACACTGTAACTAATGCTAATGCTCAGTAGCATATGCTGTGATATGAAGTTCATAGCATTTAGCCTTTCTTTTCATTGCAGTTGTTATATTTCATGTTTTCGTTTCATTGTTACATTTCAATATATACACACACAGGTCAAAGTTTGGTTTAAATACAACTTTTTCATGTTTTTGAAAGAAGTCTTTTATGCGTATCAAAGCTGCATTTATTTGATCAAAGTTAAAGTAAAAATAGCAATATTGTGAGAAATTATTACAATTTAAAATAACTAATTTATTCCTAATTAATTAAACTCATTAAAATAACTAATTTATTCCTGTTATGGCATAGCTAAATTTTCAGCATCCATTACTCCAGTCTTAGTGACACACGATCCTTCAAAAATTATTCTTAATGGTTAATGGTAATGAACAAATTACAAATTATCTTCTGTTATACAGTATAAGTATGTTCACTGTTGGACATTGTTAGTGGACTACTTAAATTAATGACCGAGTTTAAAGGGGGAAAGTGTGTCCAAAGTGAATTTAAAGGGATAGATCTTTACTCATCTTAATTTTATTCCAAACCTGTTTGACCTTCTTCTGTGGAACATGAAAGAAGATACTTTGAAGAATGACATTGAGGCCCTCTGACAAGACATTTCTCAAAATATCACCTTTTATGTTCCACAGTAAAAAGAAAGTCATATAATTTTTAAATGACTCATGAGGGTGAGTAAATGATGACATCATTATTTTAATATTTGGGTGAACTGTCCCTTCAGTTAATGTCCACAAAGTGCCAATAATACCCACAGAGGAAACAAGTTTGCATTGAAATTGGAAAACAGAGTAATGCTTGATAAGAGTTAGTCTTCCTCTTTGTATATTTGTAGGATAACAGGACACCCAAATGATGTAAAAGAGAAAGAGCAGAGAGAGTGGTGGTCAGGGGAGATTGTACAAACTGCCTGTTCGTTTGGCTGCTCTAAATGCTCTTGGTCCCGATAAGCAGCTTACTCTTCCTCCCCTGTCTCTCATCACCCTTCCCCCATCACCCCGTTCCCTCTCTCTCGCTCTCCATCTTTGTTCTGATGCTTAAAGCAACACATCCTGGATTCCAGGTGCAAAGGAGGGGGCATGTATTTAATGAGTGTGTGTTTGCTGTCAGTCTCTTCTCTCACAGAGCTGGTTGGTCTTTCCCTCTGCCATATTGTTTGTTATATTTTACTGTCCATCATCTTGTTGTCTTCGGTTCATTACTCAAAGGCATTCAGCACTCTAAGCTTGTATGTCTAATTACCAGGGCTGTCAATCGACTGCAAGTTTTAATTGAAATAATTAGATGATTTGCAGACTAAATAATTGCGATTAATTGCACATATCAATATGTGCTGAGAAAAGTCTCCAAAATAAGATAATTCAAAGACATTTCACTATGTAAAAAAAAAAAAGCACTGAATAGTGACTTTTAGAAGTCAAAATATTGCCTATAGTTTAATTTTCCTAGCCTGCAGATTATATATATATATATATATATATATATAATTTAAACATATATTATTTATTATTATTATTTATGCAAATTAATTGCATTTATTTGTCTGCCAAAGAAAGGTTTTGAATGCTGTCATGGTCTGTCTGCTCATCTAAGAAAGGGAATATGCAGTTGAGAGCCTCAGAAATAGTTCATGGACGTTCTGTTCCTGTCGGTTTGCTTAAAGCTTCTGCTTTCTTTAGACAGAGACATATGGTCCAGCAAATGGAAGTTTATGCTGTATGCCACTTTACATTAAATCAAGGAAAGCAGTGTGTGCGAGTATGGTTATTATTGTCCATATGGTATTGTCCTCTGTCTTGTACAGATGGTGTGGGGTTTTTTGTGGTTAATTTGCTGTTTCTGTCTATATGTTTGTTTATGTGGAGGGAGTATGTGTGTGCACAAAAGTGTGCCGCCACAGTGGACAGGCTGCTGCCATACGCCAGCAGTGGCAAACGAGAGGGAGGGAGAGAAAGGAAAGGATGACAGATTAGTAATTCTTTGAAACGCTCACAGATTCCCCATTTTGAAGCTCAGGACCGGCCCTCTTTTGTCTCTCTCACTCGTTGTGTTGTGAACAGGTCATGGGGTCACACCAGTGCACACACTTGCCTAAATATACAGCATCATTTTTTACTGTAAACAATTAATATGCTAAATATGCTATTTTTATTGCATCTGCTTTTGAATATTGATTTGATGGTATGATTTGTGTGCCTCAAGCTTTCTTGTCAGATTTGTGACCATATTAATTGAACGACTACATGGAATATTTTAGTTTAAAAATGTTATTTGTCATTTAATTCATTTAAAATAAAATAATGAGGGCAAAAATTATTAAAACCTTTTATATAATTGGATATAAGATTGTATCATTATGAAGTTAAGTCCAGCCTGTCTGGAATGACATGAAGAAACTGAGACAGACTAAATCCAGAAGAACTGTGGCAACGTCTCCAAGATGCTTCAAGAAACCTATCTGCAAAGCTATAGTACTTTTAAAAGTTTTAGGCACTTGTGTAAAAATGCTGTAAAATGAGGATGCTGTCACAAATAATGTCATAAATAGATTTTCTTTATTAATTAACGTGTATTAACTAAATGAACTAGTTAACTATTAATTAATCAACTTTTGGTGTGACCATCCTTTGCGTTTAAAGTGTGACCATTCTTTGTGTTTAAAGCAGCTTTTGCTCTATAGGTGCACCTGCGCATATTTTTTCAGGTAGCTTTGCAGGTAGGTCTCTTGAAGCATCTTGGAGACGTTGCCACAGTTCTTCTGGATTTAGTCTGTCTCAGTTTGTTCTGTTTCTTCATGTCATTCCAGACAGACTGGATGATGATCAGATCAGATCTCTGTGTGGAGCACTGGCTGTTGTCAAAATCTCATTGGATTATTACAATTAATGGCAAAATTAGTGTTTGGAAACACTACAGCAAAAGATAGAAATAACTGAAATAAAACCATTTTTTAGATGGTGAAAATACTAGTGTTCTAATAATTTTGGCCACCACTGTATCAACCTTTCACAATCATTTTTAAAATTACAATCTGATGTGTGTATGTGTGTGTTTGACCTTTTCTTTTCTCTTTGTGTCTCTCCAGGAACAAGTTGAATATGTGTTTTTGATCATCTTCACCATCGAAACGTTTCTGAAGATCCTTGCGTACGGCCTCGTCATGCACCCAAGCTCCTACATCCGCAACGGCTGGAATTTACTGGACTTTGTCATCGTCATCATAGGGTACGGCACCATCTTCACTGCTCTATCCATCCCCACTTGTTTGTTTACTGTCTTTTTAATTTAAAAATGAGTCATAATAACCGGAGTGACATCACAGCCTTTCCTCCCATGATTCACTTGCATATTAATTTTCCTAGATGATTTTTATTCAGGTTGTGTAATGCCAGCAGCAGCTCTCTTATTCACAATTCTACTCTTGTCCTGCTGTTCTCTTTACCTCCTTTTTTTCCCTAATTTCTCCCTTTTCTCAACCTCTCCCTCTCGGATTATCTGGTCAGATCTGGCTGTCAATCCTCGCTCTCTCACTTTCTCGCTCTCTCATTGTGTCTTAATCTGACCTACAGAGAATAGGCACTACCCTTAATTTCACACACCAGGCTTTACATCCCTGTGGTAAATGTGTGTGTATGTGAAGTGTGTAAATACATGTTTCATCCACTTAAAAAAGAATCAGTCTTTCATAGTATGTTGCTATTTAAACTCATTTTCTTCCTGCGCACACCGTAGAGTGTATTTAAAGAGCGACAATCCCCAGAGCTCTGTCCGTCCTGCTAAAATGGGCCTAAACAGCTGTTCTGAGGTCATTAATGGCCAGTTGGTCAGAGTGATGGTTAATTATCTAAAGGAAGATGACTGTGCCAGGCATTTAGCGCCTTTTTGAGTATAATTTTGAGAGCTTTTTTTGGTATTGATTGGAGATTTCATTAAGCTCACAGACAGAACCGCTAATGGGCAGCTGGATCTGTTCCAAACACACGATATTACACATCATAGTACTGCTGCTTATAATACTGATGCCATCCCAAGAGTATTTGTGCGTGCGTGTGTATGCATGAAAGCACAAAGATAGCTGGGATAGGTGCCACAAATATTGTTGCCCAGCCAGCTTCCACAACACTTCAGTACGTTCATTTGGGAATAGAATTTTGCTAGTCACGCTGTATGTTTTCAAACCACTTTAATTGTGGTCATTTGTTTGGGAATCGGGTGACACTGGTCAAGCTGTATGTTTTTGACTTCCTAAAAAGAACCGGCTCATAAGTGCCATTTGTTCAGGAATCAGACTAGTCAAGTCAAGTCACCTTTATTTATATAGCACTTTTAACAATACAGATTGTGTAAAGTCAAGCAGCTTTACAGTGTTATATAGGACAATAGTGTGTCAGTAATGCAAAAGGACAATAGTAAACACTCAATTTTCAGTTAAAGGCAGTTCATCATTGAATTCAGTGATGTCATTATCCAGCTCAGATCAGTATAAATAGTATCGGTGCAATCAATTCGATGATATTGCTGGAGACTACACCAGTTACGCTCTATTTTATGGATTCACTGAAAAGAACCTAGCTTGTATAAGAGTCAACCATTTGGGAATTGGACTGGACTTTTTTTTTTTTTTCACCTTTGTCATCTCATATTCATTAGTTTTAGTCAGTTTTATTAAAACGAGTAACATGGCATCTAATTTTGGTCTATTTTTAGTTTTAGTTTTTTATATAAGAAAGTGTAGCGTCTGGACCAATCAAACACACAATATATATTTTGTAATTCGCTACAAAAGTAAGTGTGAAATTAAACCGAATATTCAAACACTCTAAATATTATTAAATATTATTATAAGATTTAACATATGAAAACTGTCTGCATTCAAATGTTTTTAATCTTTCATCTGATGAATATTTGAAGTTCAGATTTTAACGTAAGATCATAAGTTTACCTTTAATAATACATTATACATTTTATTATTTAATATGTATTTAATGAACCATATTTATGTACATTTGTTTTTGTTGTTTGTATTTTGCAGGTTGTTCAGTGTGGTATTAGAGACTGCTACTCATAAATCCGGTGAAACAACTTCCCACATGCCGGGGAAACCGGGAGGTCTGGATGTCAAAGCTCTCCGAGCCTTCAGAGTCTTACGACCCCTCAGACTGGTTTCAGGAGTGCCCAGTGAGTTTGTGTTTGTAATAGAAAGAAAATGAAGCAATTTAATTTGATGCCTGATTTAATCTGGTTTACATTGCTATGAACTATTTAATGGTATTTTCCCCACACAAGAATGTTATTGTGCTCCTAAGAAGGTATTCTGAGATGTTTTGTATGGAGTGATGTGCTTGTGTGATGCACCAGTGTTTTGAACAGTTACAATATTTGTGCATTGATCAGAGAGGCTGGTGTAGCCTGACCTCTCTATCGTCATACTTGGGTCTATAGATTCATTCAGCATCCTCACCAATGAGCTTGACTTATGGTTGCAACTGTGCTGTTTTGCAGTCATTTCAAAATCAGGCCCGCTGACACACGCTCCTGAATCATTAGCCCCTTTCACAAAGTAATACCAGTAAATTGCCATAAAATTACCGGAATGACTTTACCGGTAAATTAAAAAATGTGCTGTTCACACAGGCAATGACGTTTCGTGTTTTTACCAGTAAAGCACCATTCACACATTGGTTTCAAATTACTGGTAAATTCTGTGACATCATTAACCAGAAATGACCTTTAAACTGTTGCGCCTCCTGGTGTTGTGTTTGTAAGCATGGAAGGGTATAAGCGGTCAGTGTTTTATTGATGTTTTAATTTTTGTGTCAAACGTTCACATTCATGCAGCTGCTTTTGGCCCAGAGACATCATTAGACGACTTCAAACTGAAATACACAGTGCGGAGTAAATGCGTCTTCTGCGTCAGAATGTTATGATTGGCCCAGAGTAGATGTCTTACGTCAGCGCGTTCTGAACTTGTACGTGCTCATACCGCTAATCTACATTCTGCGTTCACGCATAGCATTATTCTGGCAATTTACTGGTAATGTTACAACTTCTCATACCCGTAAATTGCCAGAACGAATTTACCGGTATTTTTAAAAAGGTCCTGTTCACACATGATCTCTTAACGCTAATTTACCAGTAAAGTCTGAATGTGTATGTGTGGTCAAAGGGGCTATTGACCAACTAACCAAAAAGCCATTTATTGCTTGTGTCTTTACAATACTAAGGTGATGATTTCAAAGAGCGCTGTCCATGGTGCTGAAAACACAATTCCATTAGCTACTGTACAACAGAGCTCTGGCGAAGCTGGTCAAGATGGCAGAAAACAGGATCATGTTAACCATTGACTTATTCCACCATAGTACATTTAGAAGCTGGTGTGGATCTTTCCTGCCTACTGGCATGTATGATGGTATCTCTCCCTCGTGTGCTCACCTGCACGTTAATCCTGGCACTTCTCCCATTAAGCCAAGGTGACATTGATCTAAGACACTTCTTGTTCAAATACCCATTACTTTTGCCAGAAAACACACATTAAAAAATCCTCACTATGTACATCTGTAGTGCTATTATGTTCTGGCTGCCATTGTCTTGATTAAGGTAAATTGATGTTGGTCTCAGTCAATCAATCTATCAACCACTCAGTCAGTCAGTCATTTATATAAAATGTTTGAAAAAATGTTGATACAGATTTTTTTATTTTATTTTGACGATTATTCATGGTGTGACAAGTCACACATTTTGTCATGTTGAACATTATTTTTAAATAAAATGTTTTTGTTTACTAAAATTAGACTTCCTTTCAAATGTTTGTTGTCAGTAAGATTTTTTAAAAAGAGAAATTACTACTTTTATTCAGCAATGCTGCATTAAATTGCTCAAAAGGGACGACAACACATTACATTGTTACAAAAATGTATGTGATTGCCATCACAGGAATAATTTACATTTTAAAATATATTAAAATAGAAAACTGTTATTTTAAATTGTAATAATATTTCACAACATTACTGTATTTGTGATCAAATTCATGCATGTCTGGGTAAACTAAGGGACATAAACATATCTTACTGACCCCAAACGTTTGAACATTTGTGTATATGCCATGTTAGTAATTGAAAAATTGGCCTAAAATAAATAAACACGTCTTGTCGAATTTGCAAAAATAATAAAATACTAAACTGATATAATGGACAAAAACAGTCAGAATGGGAATGTTTCTTCTTATGCAAAAATACAGGTTTTGGGTTACAGATTGTGCTCTATTATGAGGATTTTTCTGCTCTGTGTGTGTGCAGGCCTGCAGATTGTGTTAAACTCCATCATGAAGGCAATGGTTCCCCTGCTGCACATCTCTCTGCTTGTCCTCTTTGTCATCATCATCTATGCCATCATCGGATTGGAGCTCTTCATCGGACGAATGCATCACACCTGCTATTTTATAGGCACAGGTAACTACACACACTCACATAAAATATTTATGTGAATTTTCTGTCACTCTCTGTCTTACTCCATCTGTCTGTCTCTTATCTTTCCCAGATAATTATGCGGACGATGATCCAGTCCCGTGTGCGTATGCGGGTCACGGTCGCCAGTGTGCTGCCAATGGCTCCGAGTGCAGGGGAAAGTGGGATGGACCGAACGGTGGCATCACTAACTTTGATAACTTCTTCTTTGCCATGTTAACAGTGTTCCAGTGCATCACAATGGAAGGCTGGACAGACGTCTTGTACTGGGTAACTACGTAAACTGTGTCTTCAGATTGACTGTAACATAATTATCTTTTAAGGAAGTGATTGTGTATGACACTGATACAGTTGCCTTTGCCTGTGTGTCCTTCTCTGTAGATGAATGATGCAATTGGTTTTGAGCTGCCATGGGTTTACTTTGTAAGCCTGGTCATCTTTGGATCCTTCTTTGTTCTCAACCTTGTGTTGGGTGTGTTGAGCGGGTGAGTTGATAGGATCGATGTGTTTATGGGCAAGTGTGTACGGTTGTCATCATTTTTTGTGGCTGACTTTGTCCCGAACACTTTTTTAAATATCCACAGTGTTGTATTCAGAATATACATTTTATCAGTTCAAGCATTTTCTGGGAATGCCTTCAAAAGTTTGGGATCGTTGATATGTTTTTGAAAGAAGTCTTTTACGCTCACCAATGATCAAAAATACAGAAAAACAGTAATATTGTAAAATATTATTACAATTTAAAAGAGCTGTTTTTAATATCTTAATATATTTTAAATTATAATTTATTCCTGTTATGGCAACCCTTATTTTTTCAGCAGCCATTACTCAATCTTAAATATTTTTGTTAAATATTTTAAGCTTAATTTTTTAATTTTTAATTTTTTTTTTTGGAAATGGTGATGAATTTTTTTCAGGATTGTTTGATGAATAGAAAGTTCAAAAGTACAGCATTTATTTGAAATCTTTTTTAACAAATATCTTTCCTGTCACTTTTGCTCAGTTTAATCCATCCTTGCTGAATAAAAGTACTCATTTCTTACTGACTCCAAAGTTTTGAATGGTAGTGTACTTATTTATTAATACCTATTTATGATCCACACATTTTTCTACTGACAAATGTAAAAATATGCAGAAAAATAGCAACTCAATAGTGTGCAGTTGATTTAGTTGATTTTTGCCTATTTCTAACCGTAATGTTATTGTTTATGTTTCAGTTTTGACTCTAAAAGCATGAATACCATGATAGATACATCACATGTGACAATTTATGTATTAAAACAGTTAGTCCATAACCCAATTAATATTTATGAGCTAAGACTTCTGCATTTCATGACATCATAAACTGTGCATTGTAACTTGTTTGCATATCTGTGATCGTTTAACAGAGGACAGCAGCAGCAGATATCAGATGTTTTTACTCACCTGAATGGAACAATCCCCAGATGCTGAGAGTAGCAGATTTGCAGAGTTTGATTTCCTGCAGACAACAGAATTCCCCAAAGATTCTGCCTTGTGCTGCTTACCTCTCCGTGAAAGTCCACAGTGTGTATTGTGCGTGTGTGCGTTTGTTTTGCTTGTCTAACAGGCCATACTTGTGTGTAGAGAATTCTCTAAGGAGAGAGAGAAGGTAAAAGCTCGCGGAGATTTCCAGAAGCTTCGTGAGAAACAGCAGATGGAGGAGGATTTGTGTGGATATATGGACTGGATCACTCAGGCTGAGGACATTGATGAGTTTGATGAGGACGGGAACAGACGTGAGATCTCTTCCTCTGTTTAACCATCTATACCGCTTTGTCCTTGATATCACTTGTTCATTGTTGATCACCTGTTTCTCCTATACCAGTTTACCATACAGAGACAATTAAGTAAGAAAGGGTTTTTGATCCCAAGGACCCCAAGTATGTTTATCCCTTTCTGAGGGCCTCCTAACTAAAATGGAATGACAGCTATATAATTTGATGTATAATGACTCATTCACATCATATGAGAAAAGTAGTAAGCATCATATTATAAAGACTAAGTCCAAAGCAAGTAATTAAAATATGATCTGTAGAATATTTACTTTGCATGATTTAGAATAAATCATCTTAGAATAGATAATAGAATAAAATAATTGGGATTAATCTTATGATTTCTGACCCTAATTTTGAAAGCAAAATGAGGCATATAATATAAAATAAAAATAAAATAGAAATATTCTAGATATTAAAAAAAATTATATTATACTATATATATAGTGCACATTTAATTAAAATGTAATGTAAAAAATGCACCCTCTTACAAACTGTTTTTGTTAATAGAAATAAAGTTGAAATAATTTAAAATAAGATGTCAATATTAAATGAAAAACTCAAACTTAAAACATTGGCAACTGAATAAAAAAATTATAAAAATGACTAATAAAAAGGTCAAAAAGCATGAAATGAAACCTAAAGTAAAAGTAAAATGAAAATTGAAAATGTAAAATAAAGTCTATTTAAAATAATAATAAATACTATACTGTTATATAAATAATACCAATATAACTGGACCACAAAAGATGAATCATTATTTGTACATCTCAGTTTGGAGTGGCAGAAATTACACATTTTACCTTTAACTGCCCTAGTGAAAATAAATATAAAATGTCTTTGAAATACATTTATTTCATGCTAAGTATACTACAAATACATTTACATATTTGTGTACTTAATAAAAATACCCTGCAATTGTACTTTTAGTATACTAAACTGGTATACTTAAAGTCTGTTAAATTGGAACAACTAATTTTGTACTTAATGCACTGTAATTGTGTGGAAGTTGTGCTGAGGTCCAGTTAAAAATATAGTAAACTGAGTACCCAATATACATTAAACATCTCATCTCACTATTGATGTTTGAGGTAAAGATTTCCCCACCCACCACCTGTTTTTCCATCTGTTCCGTTTCTCATTTTGTTCTATTCCATGTCTCTCACTCTTTTTCTCTCTCTGGATCTTTCAATCTCCCCTCAGGTGTGACCTTGCGTGACCTAGCTGATAAGAAGAGGGGGAAATTCGGCTGGTTCAGCCACTCAAACGAAACCCACGGTACGGCCAATCAGAACCAGACGCATGACCCCTTCACTCCCCCGCTGTTCTATATATAGCCCCCCTCAACTTTGTCTGGTCTAATTTTGTAATTTACATCTGGGGCTAGAAATCACATCTCTCGGTTGGACCCATATTAAGTGCTTTGACCCTATTGCATAGAGATTGCTTTTCTGTGTCAACTGTGTCAATGTGTGGCCGACATTATTCTTTCTCTTTGTCTCTCGTACCTATCCTTTTCTGTGTATCTTTCACTCTCTTCCCATGCTATAGCAAGTCTTCCAGCCAGTGAAACGGCCTCTGAGAACACTGAAAACATAGATGAGGAACACACTGATTGTTGTGCTGCTTGCTGGTAATAATATACGCACACATACATACCCACTATAATTAGAAACAGCATAACACACACCATTTGTCATTGCGTTGTCCTGCCAGCTTACTAATGGAAGTTGTTATCAGCCATAATGGAGTGTCATCCCTTAATTTCTCAGTTGCGGCTCATTATGTTCTCTTTTCTTTGTATTGTTTTTGCTCTTGCAAGTCAGTTCATTACTCTGGGTTTCTTTGGCTGTCTTTGTTTCAGTATCTGAACTGGATCTTTGTTAAGCGCAATGCATCAAAGTGCACATTTTGCCAATTGCTCTGTGTTGTGCTTGTCTTTGAGCTCATTGTTGTTTTGTTTTGTTTTGTTCACTGTCCTTTTACTTCAGCGCTCGCATTATGAAGATCCCGTGCTGGTGAGTCATTGTGAGGACAAACTAGTAGTTCAGGGTCCGTCTACTGGATATATAAACTTTACTTTAGAAAATACACTGTATTTTTTTATTTTTTCTTGTTTAAAGCATAAACCTAGCTAAATTTAGTTTATTCTTAGACGTTCATGTATAAAACAATGCAAAAAAATGTCAAACTTAAAGGATTTGTTTACCTAAAAATTAAAATTAGCTAAAAGGTTACTCACCTTCATGCCATCCAAGGTGTAGATAAGTTTATTTCTTCATCAGAACAGATTTGGAGAAATTTAGCATTACATCACTTGCTCACCAAGTGAGAATCCTCTGCAGTGAATGGGTGCCGTCAGAATGAGTGTTCATACATTTATATAAGATATATCCATTGGTGAGCATGTGATGTTACAATACTTTTCTCCAAATCTGTTCTGATGAAGAAACAAACTCATCTACATCTTGGATGGCCTGAAGGTGAGTACAATTTCAGCAAATTTTCATTTTTGGGTGAACTATTCCTTTAATAAACTTAAAGGGATAGTTCACCCAAAACTGAAAATGTTGTCATCATTTACTTACCTTCAAGTTATTCCAAACCTGTATGAGTTACTTTTTTCTGTTAAACTCAAAAGAAGAAATTTAGGAGAATATGGTTAATCAAACAGTTGATGGTCCCCATTGACTTCCATAGTATGGAAAAAACAATACTATGGAAGTCAATGGGGAGCATCAACTTTTTTGTTCTTCAAAATATCTTCTTTTTTGTTCAGCAAAATAAATAAACTTATACAGGGATGAAACCACTTGAGGGTGAGTAAATGATGACAGGATTTTCAGTTTTGGGTGTACTCTTGCTTTAAGATATATTCTCTGAAAACTAGTCTTATGTTTTGCAGTTTTGTTTTTAAAGTGCATTTCTATTGTTTTAAAGATATTTAGATATTTTATTCTGTCAGAAAGGACAAAAATATGGATTATGTAAATGATTTTTTGCAATACATGCCCTATAAAATTGCTTTGATCACATGGTTCATGACTTTTATATTATTATATTATATATTACATTACATTATATATATATTGTAATTTTTCATATGAATGTTAAAAAAAAAATCTATACAGTGATTAGTATTTTTTTGTTTGTGTGTGTGTTTGCTTAGTCGTGCCCTGCGCCACTGGAACCGTTGCATTCGTAGAAACTGTCGTACAGCAGTGAAATCTGTGACGTTCTATTGGTTAGTGCTGATCCTATTCTTCCTCAACACTGCTCTCAGTGCCTCTGAACATTATAACCAACCAGACTGGCTCACTGACGTTCAGGGTATGTAGGTGTTTCCAAACATCACCTTACTGACATGGCATGTGCACTGTCCCACAGCACTGGCCACACATGCACGGTTATTTATAGAACGCTATTAGCTGTTGTTTTCTTACTGATGTGTCTTTCATAAGGTTTAAAGAAGGAGTCCATCATGGTGTTACCAATAACCTACAGTACATGCTGACAAAAAAAAGGTTGGACTGTAATTACATCTGTTTATCTGCCTCTCTTTCTTTTTCTGTCTCTCTCATAGACATTGCCAATAAGGTTCTCCTCTCACTGTTCACAGTGGAGATGTTGTTGAAAATGTACAGTCTGGGGTTGCAGGCATATTTTGTGGCATTTTTCAACCGTTTTGACTGTTTTGTGGTGTGCGGCGGGATTCTGGAGACAGTTCTTGTGGAGATGGAGATCATGCCACCTCTCGGTATCTCAGTGTTGCGCTGCGTCCACCTGCTTCGGATCTTCAAAGTCACACGGTACTCAGGCCTCTTAAACGATTTTTTAAACTCTTTAAAAATCCTTTTTTCTTAAGAAACTGAATAGTATAGCTGGTTTATTTTCTCTTCATTGTTTTAGGTTTCTAATGTTTGTCTAATTTAGAGCATGTCTAAAAACAATGTGTGATTTTCTTATTTTCTACAAGAAAACAATTCCCTCTTTCCTCCGGTGCCTTTGTTTTGTTCCTGTTGTTTCTCTCTTTCCTCATCACTTTTCCGCCCTGCTAATTCTTGCCCCACTTGTCCTCCTCAGCCATTGGACAGCTTTGTCCAATCTGGTGGCCTCTCTACTGAATTCAATGAAGTCCATTGCCTCCCTGCTGCTGTTGCTCTTCCTCTTCCTCATCATCTTCGCTCTGCTTGGCATGCAGTTATTTGGAGGGAAGTTCAACTTTGATGAGACACAGACCAAGAGAAGCACCTTTGATTCCTTCCCTCAGGCCCTGCTAACCTGCTTTCAGGTAAACTCTGCTACAACAGTGAAAACATTATATTCTGTTATTTAATAACCAGAAATTTTCCTAATCATATTATTCACAAATAAAGAAAAATTGAAATTATTAAAAATCTGAAATGTACAATGTCTTTTTCAAAGAAAGGTGATGCTTTTAAAGTATAAAGTTCTGCTCAAAGGTTAAGAAAGTTAAGAATCCTAAGGAAGTCAGTGTTTTAAATGTAATTTTTACAAGTTTTTTTGCTAAATGTAGGTCTTTTTTTCTCTACAGATCTTAACAGGTGAAGACTGGAATGTAGTAATGTATGATGGTATCATGGCATATGGAGGCCCGGTTTTCCCTGGAATGATCGTCTGTCTTTACTTTGTGATTTTGTTCATTTGTGGTAACTGTATCCTTTTCTGTCTGAAACCAATTTTTATTTGCTTATTTATTATGCTTTCATTTTGTTTATCTGATATCATCAACAAAACACCAACAGTTTTATTCATGTATATTTATTACATTTATTAACAAAGCAACACTGCATACTAGGTACAGTATACATTTGACTGAATAATGTATTCCCTGGGAATCGAACCCACAGCCTTTGTGTTGTTAGTGTTGTGCTTTACTGTTTGAGATACATCAATGCAGTTGTGTACTAGTTTTCAACTTAACACTATTTCAGCAACTGGCATCATTGTTCACTGATTAAAAAGCAAACATATCTTACAATCCCTACTGCAAATCCTGATTTCTGGTTTGTTGATGTTTTTTGTCGTTTGTCATCTTTCTGTTTGTGTTTTTGTTGGGTCTTAACTGCTGCTCTCTAAGATATCCTACTGAACGTCTTCTTGGCCATCGCTGTCGACAACTTAGCAGGAGGGGATGGAGACAATAAGAAGAATGAGTGTGTTTTTAGATAATTCCAGATCATCTTACCAAATCTGAACTCATCTGTCTTTCTAAATATGACAGCATACACATTTACTATTCTTAAACATACATAGTGGGGTCCAAAAGTTCACACTGAAAATCTGAGATTCAAAATCCCACTTAAACCTAGAAAAAGAAAAAATAAAAGGTTTAAAAGAAAAAAAAAATCTATAATAGGCACCTTATGAAGTAATAAGAATTAAGATTATTTCATTAAAGCAAAAGGGAGATAAACCAAATACTAAAACGTCCTGACGTTCATGTTTATTTTTCATTTTAACATTTTACTGAAATTACGCTGATAATGATTTATTTTAGAAAAATGCAAAATAGAAGCATTTTCACCCACTGTTCTGTATATTCAAAAACAAATAAAAATTCTGACATGCGATTCTGTTGATCCTGACAGAGAAAAAAAAGAGGGAGAAGGTGAAGGTGAAGGAGAGAACGGAGAGGTGAAGGTATGGAAATCAAACTCATCTGTCTTTGTTGTTGTTGAACAATTATCACATTGAGGTCTTTCTTTCATTCTGTTTTCAACAGGTGAACATTGATGATGAGTACGAGGAAGAGGAGGAGCCTGAAGAGGGAGATGATGAAGGTACAGTGCACAAACATTAAGACAGCATATTGCTTTGGAACAGTTTGTTTATTCTGAAAAGTTTTGTAGTGATTTAGAGACATTTGTGACCATAATTACAGCACACACTCATTGCACTAACAGTCCCTCTTGCTGAGTGTCCTGAGGTTTAGTGTTGGCTAGATAGAGCTAGATTGTGATTGCATTAACTCAGTTTCTATCTGTCTATCTCTCCCTCTCTCTTTCTTTCTGTTCTTCTCTGCTGGAAGAAGGGAAAGCTCAGCTCAATGTTGCTGACTTCGCTCCTCCTAAAGAGAAAGTTCTACCAATCCCAGAGGGCAGTGCGTTCTTCTGCCTCAGCAAGACCAACCCGTGAGTGTGCACTTTAAACCACTCACACACTGTTACAAGACAGTGCTTGACCATTTAAAGAGATAGTTTACCCCCCCCCCCAAAATTTAATTCTGCCATAATTTACTTGTGTCATGTAGATGCCTCATTCATTCATTAATTCATTCCAAACATGTTTGACTTACTTTCTTCTCTGGAACACAAAGGAAATATTTTGAGAAATTTTGTTTTTGTGCTTTTTTCATCCATACATCCATTTTCATCAAAACTGTTTGGTTACATTCTTCAAAATATCTTCTTTTGTGTAGAAGAAAATAGGTCATACAGGTTTGGAATGTCTTGAGGGTGAGTGTTGACAATATATTTTTGGGTGAACTATTTAATTAATTCTTTGTTACTATGATTATATTCGTGTAAATATTTTCTTTATGTAAAACATTTTCTACAAGTATTCCACAACTATTTCAAAATACTTTTGGGGAAAAAATAACACTCACTCACTTAAACATGGAAATTGTGTTTTTGTTCCTTACATTTTAATTTCAATGTCTAAACACTAGGAATGTGTCATAACAAAGTTCTGGAGTTTTCCACTGCTTACAAACACAAAAACAACATCTGGAATTATTTGGAATGTCATTTAGATTTCAAGTAGCTCTTCATTTGGGATGCAACACATATATAACATAATTCAAAATGCATGACAATGTCTGGAAATGAATCCAAATGCACTAATTTTCACTGTGTACTTGTTAGTTGGTGGTTTTGGACACAGCATATTCATGATTGTGTAAAATGCCTCTGTGTTTTATGTTTCCTCATGCACCTCATGAGTTGAGCAACATGGAGAATAAACTAAAAATAAGAAAGTCATTTTAAATTTTGGACGATGTTGACAACACACAGCTAACCACAGTTCTGTTTGGGTCTTCCTCCAGAATAAGAGTGGGCTGCCATACCCTGATCCACCACCACATCTTCACTAATCTCATCCTGGTCTTCATCATTCTCAGCAGCATTTCTCTGGCTGCGGAGGATCCTATCAGAGCTCACTCCTTCAGGAACAATGTGAGTTTCCTGCTCACACATAAGCAGCATCATATTTACTGCAGCTGTCCTGATTGGCATGTTGGAGGAGCTCTTCAGTGCCAGCTGGGGAACGCCATCCTTCAATCAGCTGGCTGTCAAACACACACACGCACACACATAAACATATAGCTTAACATGATTTACCTTTAAGTAAGACATGTTTTTGGATCAGCATCCTTGTTACTACTGGAACAACATGGGATCAACCAATCAGAATTGAGATTTGGGGTCAGAACTGGGGCCAAGGGCTTGAACAACATGGTTATCAATCTATTATTTCCCTGAAGGTTTAGGAAGACGTTATAGTGAGGGTTCAGACCATGATTGTTTGGTACAAATCTTAAACAACAATGGATGCTCCAGGAACGTGTCCTACTTGTCTAAATCGCATATACACAAACAAATGTGTCACCAAACATCAATCATTCCAGTGAAACATAATTTTTCATATCAGGGGAACTGATTTATTTCTCTCTACAGGTGTTGGGTTATGCTGATTATGCTTTCACTTCTATATTCACTGTGGAGATCTTACTGAAGGTACCGATCAATCAATCAAATGCTTTTGTAAAATGTTGCTACACTGAAATGTCCTTACCTTTCTTCAAATTTCCCTTCCTTTTCCTCTGTAGATGACAGTGCATGGTGCATTCCTCCATAAGGGTTCCTTCTGTAGAAACTGGTTTAATTTGTTGGATCTTTTGGTGGTCAGTGTGTCTCTGGTCTCCTTCTTCTTACAGTAAGTCTACTACACTCATATAGATATCAAAAGATGTCTGTTCATCATTTCTGCGAGTTATCTGATGTATAGATGTGTACGTGTATGTGTATGCATCGCCCTCTGGTGGATAAATGAAGATGGTTCCCATATCCCGCTTTGAATGCAATGTAGATGTGAAAATAAATAAATAAATCTTATACCCAAATGCTTTCAGCTATTCATTTACATATTTATAGTATTTACCTTGGTGCATAACTGTATGAAAAAAGTGGAATATCTGCGTTCACTGATGATGTGAAAGGGGTAATATATGACTTGACTGCTTATGAAACCATATAAATCACACTGTTAAGAGACATTGAAGAAGAAATGAAGATCAGTCTATGCTTTTTGAGTCCACACGTACAAAGTCAAACCTCTCTTGCTTTTTTCTTTCTCTTAGTTCGAGTGCAATCTCTGTAGTGAAGATCCTAAGGGTGCTCAGAGTTCTGAGGCCTCTTCGAGCAATCAACAGAGCCAAAGGACTCAAGGTACACTTTTAGTGTGTTAGTGCCTGTGCTTTATTTTGCAAACGTTTTAAAGACATGTATGTATATATATGACATATATATGCAATTATCTGCAAAAAGTTTGGGCTCTGTAAGTTTTTTTTATGCATTTGAAAGTCCCTTATGTTCACTAAGGCTGCATTTAAAATACAGTAAAATGTAGTAGTATGAAATACAGTTATATTATAATATTACTTAGCGACCAGTGTCATATGATCCTTCAGAAGTCATTGTAAATTGCTGATTTGGTGCTGAATAAACTTTTGCACTGATTAATATTGTTGTGGAAACCATGATACATTTTTTCAGGATTATTTGATAAACAGAAAATTCAAAAGAACAAAATGTATTTGAAATATAAGTATTTTGTAATATACGTCTTTACTGTCACTTTTTATCAATTTAATGCATCCTTGCTTAATTTAAATAAATAAATAAAACAACAATCTTACTGACCCCATACTTTTGAATGGTAGTGTAATTCATATTTGCAGAATTGTTTGAGTGCTTCTCTGTCATTGTTATTGTGGAAACTCCATTACTCACTCTCTCTCTCTCTCTCTCTCTCTCTCTCTCTCTCTCTGTGTAGCATGTGGTACAGTGTGTGTTTGTGGCTATAAGGACCATCGGGAACATCATGATCGTCACCACCCTACTTCAGTTCATGTTTGCCTGCATCGGTGTTCAGCTTTTCAAGGTTAAACGCACTCACACACACACACACACACAAAGTCTGTCTATATCTCGTGCTCTCACAAGTTTAACATTAGCACATATATACTAATGTGTACTAATGTACTTTTTTTGTGTCATTACTGTTGTATTTTGTAGGGTAAATTTTATCGTTGCACAGATGAAGCTAAAAACACTCCAGAACAGTGCAAGTATGTCATATTTCAGCATCTGTCATTCCTGTTTAATTCTGTTCTTACATTAACCACATGTGTGTGCCTTTGGGCAACGTGTATTTATGTGTCATGAGTGTTCGTGGTTTATGTGTACATCCATTTGTGCCTACAAATTGTGTGTGTGTTTGTTTGTGTGACACAGGGGCACATTTGTGGTGTATAAAGACGGAGATGTGAGTCATCCAATGGTGAAAGAGAGGATCTGGATCAACAGCGACTTCAACTTCGATAATGTACTGATGGGAATGATGGCCCTGTTTACAGTCTCCACTTTTGAGGGTTGGCCTGCGTGAGTCTGCTCCTCTAAGATCTTCCTCCATATGTCACTCAAGGTCACCATGACCATGTTTACACAATATGCTCCACATTCTGTTTTTCCTCATTCAGGCTGCTCTACAAAGCCATTGATGCCAATGCAGAGAATCATGGCCCCATTTACAACTACCGCGTGGAGATCTCTATATTCTTCATCGTCTACATCATCATCATCGCCTTCTTCATGATGAACATCTTTGTGGGTTTTGTCATCATCACTTTTCGTGAACAAGGAGAGGCTGAGTTCAAGAACTGTGAGCTGGACAAAAATCAGGTTGGACGAAAGGCTATTTTAAAGAATATTTTACATGTTTCAGTGTTTTACATTTTACATTTAAGTTCGCAACCAGTTTTACCACTGTAATGTGACATACTATCGTTCAAAATTGTGGGGTCAGTATGATTTATTGATTTATTTAGCAAGGATGCATGAATTTGGTTAAATATGACAATATAATGTTACAAAAGATTTCTATTTCAAATACATACTATTCTTATGAACTTTCAATTTATCAAAGCATCCAAAAAATGTATTATAGTTTCCACAAAAATATCAAGCAGCACAACTGTTTTCAACATTAATAATAATGATAAGTGTTTTTTGAGCATCAAATTAGCATATTAGAAATATTTCTGAAGGATCATGTGACTCTGACACTTATATTCAATAAGATTTTTTGTTTTTTATAAATCGGAAACTGATTGGATGGTGTAAAGTGGGTGTTTCAGACCGGAATGGAGTCAAAACAAATACATGTTTGAATTGCAGCTTAAGTGTAATCAACAAAAAAAAAAGTAGGAAGAGCAAGTTAGATCTCAGTGTTGCCAAGAATTGGGCTATTTTACCACTGTTGCTGCGGGTTGTTTTTCATGTCCGCGGGTAGAAGCGACACAATAACGCGATATTTAGCCCCTGAAATGCTCATTTTACCGGGGAACCCTGCCAAAAAACTTGTATTTTACCCCCCAGAACGCGATTTTTAATGGGGGACCCCCCTCCAAAACGCGATTGGACTAGTTTTGAGTAGCAATTGGGTGGGTTTTGTTATGAAAACCTAGTAACCCTGATCTTGATTGAAGATTACAAAGATACACATTTTGAATAACATGCACAGATAAATCTTTCATAATAAGAACTGAAACGTGTATTAACAATAAATATATAAGATTTCATGTTGACTTTTCATTTTAAATAACGGTCCGCTCAAGTTGATCAGTGCACTACTGCACTCCAGTATGTATTTTCTCACATTATGTCTCCTTCTTTTTGTTACTTACAGAGACAGTGTGTGGAATACGCCCTAAAGGCCCAGCCGCTGAAGCTGTACATCCCCAAAAACCCAGTGCAGTACAAGTTCTGGTCTATAATCAACTCCACAGGGTTTGAGTACATCATGTTTGTGCTGATTCTCCTCAACACTGTTACTCTGGCTGTGCAGGTAAACAGCCAGACTGTCTGACAAGCCTTACAAAAGCTGTACAATCAGCATGTAGAACCACAGACAAAGACATTTTAGTCTATTTTTGGTATTGGGAATCTGAGCTTATATGAGCATACTTAAAAATCCAACATGAACCTTGAGGCCAGTGTTAAAATAGTATTGAGAATAAAATAGCATTGAGTAGCACCATTTTAGAGAGAAGTCAGTTGCACTGATACATTTGAAGAAGGCCTCTATAAATTGACATAAATCTAAACATATATATGTCTATAAAGTAGAAAGATCAAGACCAAATGATTTGAGGCTGATAATGAGTTAAATGCTGAATCATACTCTTTCTGGATTCTTCCACAGCACTATGACCAGTCAAAATTTTTTAGTTACGTGATGGACATCCTCAATATGGTTTTCACCGGCCTTTTCACTGTGGAGATGATCATTAAACTGATGGCTCTCAGACTCAGGGTCAGTCCTTTCACTTGATGTGATATGTGTTTGCTTGCTATAAAGTATCCTGTTGATAAAGTTACTGATATGTCTTAAAAATCATTTAAACCCTTCTCAAGCCATCTTGAACTTTTCAAGTATTTTGTTCTTAATATCTGTTTTTTTTTATCTTTTTTTCCGTTCTGCAGCATTACTTTATCGACGCATGGAATTCCTTTGATGCTCTGATTGTGGTGGGAAGTGTGGTGGACATTGTGGTTACAGAGTTCAGCGTGAGTTCCTCTTTTACTTATGCAATCAACAGGATTGAAATAGATACGGTTCTATAAGATAGTCTACACTAGCACAGATTTATTGGCATGTTATTGGTCAGTGGTAATTTGTTTAATATTAGTTTTTTTGTCAGAAATATCACTTTAGTCTTATTAGATTCTAGTAATTATTATATTAGTGTTTAATGCAGACGTTAGCTCACAAATATTTCATGTAAAAATCAGAATCGCATGCATTGTATGTGTCCTGTAGGGCACATTATGAAAAAAAATTCTCCTTTATTTTCTCCTTAGAGCTCAGAGGACAGCTCTCGTGTATCCATAACATTCTTCCGTCTGTTTCGTGTAATGCGATTGGTTAAGTTGCTCAGCAAGGGAGAGGGCATTCGTACCCTGCTCTGGACTTTTGTGAAATCACTCCAGGTCAGAAGACAATGATTTCTAAAACATTTTTCATATTTTGAGCAAATGTTGTGGTCTGTTACTGTTCTTGTTGTCCCTCAGGCCCTGCCGTATGTTGCTCTTCTGATCGCTATGATCTTCTTCATCTATGCTGTAATTGGAATGCAGGTACTTGGAGGCTGGGAAAATTTATATATTTTCTTTTGATCATTATTTTTTATATTTTACTTTTTTAGTATATACTATATCTTTTTTTTTTTTAAGAAACAGTCTGTTTTTATGAACACAACTGATCAGTTAAAAAAATCATTAATGCTCTATTCATCAGACATTTGGAAAGGTCGCCATGCAGGACCACACACAAATCAACAGGAACAACAATTTTCAGACTTTTCTGCAGGCTGTGCTGCTACTTTTCAGGTGAGAGAGTGTGTTTTCTGTTAATCACAGAACAGTAGAGCATGGTGCCACCAACATCAAGTTCATGGATTTGATTCCCAGGAAATGCATGAACTGTTAAAAATGTATACCTTGAATGCAATGTAAGTTGTTTTGGATAAAAGTGTCTGCCAAATGCATAAATGTATGTGCTCTTCATGTGCAGGTGTGCAACGGGCGAAGCATGGCAGGAGATCATGTTGGCCAGTCTTCCAGGAAAGCGCTGTGACCCAGAGTCAGACTATGAGCCCGCGGAAGAATTCACATGCGGCAGCAACTTTGCTATTGTCTACTTTATCAGTTTCTTTATGCTCTGCGCCTTCCTGGTAAATGTTGTTGTTTATTAAATTAACTCTATTCTTCATAACTTTCCCTTGATAGCTTTAGTCATGCAGTTTAATTTTGACTGCATAATTTCCCAACTTTTATTAAGAATAAAAAAAAAAGATTTTTGTTTTGTTCTCAACTTGTGTATTTTTACATTTTAACATTTAATTTTTTTCTTCTGACAAAACTATAAGTAAATACCTGTACAGTGATTATTATGCAGGGCATGCTAGCCTTATGTTGGCTGAAATGTTTTCAGTGTGATTTGCATAGTGTAATGCAACTGTTGTGCTTTTTCAGATTATTAATCTGTTTGTTGCCGTCATTATGGACAATTTTGACTATCTGACCCGTGATTGGTCAATTCTCGGACCACATCACCTGGATGAGTTTAAAAGAATCTGGTCAGAGTACGACCCTGAAGCCAAGTAAGATTATCAGTCTCTCTCTAATGCTTTTTTTTATTTAAACAATTAAAGTCTAATTAAATGTGTGTTTGTTTTCCAGGGGTCGTATAAAGCATTTGGATGTAGTGGCTTTGCTCAGGAGAATCCAGCCGCCACTTGGATTTGGGAAGCTCTGTCCTCATCGTGTGGCCTGCAAGGTACAGACACACAAACTCCATTTGGTCTGTTCTTCTTCCATTTCTTTCTGTCTTACTATATCTCTCTATTTTTTTGTCAGAGGCTGGTTGCCATGAACATGCCCCTGAACAGTGATGGTACGGTGACCTTCAACGCCACCCTGTTCGCCCTGGTCAGAACTGCTCTGAAAATTAAAACTGAGGGTCAGTATGGGCGTCCACACAAACACACACACCCTCTGCATACTCATCCGCTTCACCTCTCTATTTAAGCTACAGATGATTCATATGAAAGTGTGCTTTGCATATAAATACTGGAGCCCTTCTTTCATTGTCATGTTTTTGTTTTTTTTTCCAAATGAAATTTCACTGAAATCAACCACATGCATCCACATACTGTAGGTTACCATGCAGAATAATAATATGCAGTTAAGCTTTTTGAGAATGAATGAGACAATATGTGTGTAAAAGGACATGGTCTTAGGTAGCTGTGTAAGTTCATGTGGCTGCAATGTGTTGTTCTCAGAGAACCCTGATCAAGAGAACGAAGAGTTGAGAATCATCATTAAGAAGATCTGGAAGAGAATAAAACCCAAAATATTGGATGAGGTTATTCCACCCCCTGCTGGTGAGTTCTTTGTGGATCATATTTATGTAGTTCTTTAAATCAGTAAAATTACCACAATGCACCAGGGTTGGGCAAAATTCAAAATGTATAAATTGGCTCCCTTTTAATTCACAAGTGTGAATTTGAACAGAATTGTGAATTTTAATCAGAATAACAGGAAGATTAATTTACTGAATTGCAAAATGATCACATATCACCAAATTACACAATAATAGATAGTTTAGGTAATCTTTATAAGGTATCTGTCTTGTAAATCTTCCTTTTGAAGACTTTGCAGTAAATTATTCTGGCAATTTGTCAGGGAATAAAATGTTCTTCCATCATTGTCTATAAAATGAAAGTTAATTTATTGTATATAATTACCTATATATGAAATGTATGTTTTTGTACGTTTTTTTGGCATTTCATACAGTATTTCATACAAAACATTTTAATGAGTAACTTATACTGACAACTGAAATAAAATTTTCATTTAATTATAATTTAATATTTTTGTATTTAGTTTTCTGCCTCGCGTCATATTTAACTGGCATTTAAAAGACATCCTCAATTTAGTTCTGAATGCTGCACAGCCCAAACAAGCACAGTTACACAAATCAGAAACATTTTTCAACTTTTTGTGCTGTTTTATTTGCAACATTCTATGTTGGTTCTTTTACAGAGGAAGAAGTGACTGTGGGTAAATTCTATGCCACATTCTTGATCCAAGACTATTTTAGGAAGTTCCGGAAAAGGAAAGAGAAAGTGGGTCTGGAAGATTCAGAGAATGGTAACCCTTCAGCTCTACAGGTAGATCTCTGTCCTAGATTCTGCATTGTATTTCTGTTCTGTCATTTCCGATACATCTGAACACAATAATAGCATTGTATTTGCTAAATCACACATTTTATGCAAAATGTCCCGCACTTGCACTAAATTAAATCACAAAAACAGATGACTTGACAATCATCTAATGGATTTGTACAAATCCCACATTGAGAGATGATCCACTGAAGCAGACTAAACTAACAAAAGTCTTCACCAAAGAGCTGTGATCCTGGCTGTCTTCATTCCGAGTATCATCTTAGACAGTCTCTTTTTATCATTCTCTATGGGTGTGCTGTCATTGGTAGTTTGAGGTTACATGTGTGGGTTTGTGTCCAAGCTGCATGCATTTCATCATTCTTACAGGTTATTTTTTTTTTACAAACTGTCAGAAAGTTGCACAATATAAATTTCATCCTAAACAAATGAGCTATTTCTCATGACACAGGTGGGACTTGAACCCACAAACCCCAGCTCCAGAAGCTGATACCTTATCCATTAGTCTACTAAGCCATATTTTAGTCTTAGCCATGTGTCAGGGTCCTGTCCTGACAGTTAAGTCTGTTCTGTCTTTGTTTAACGTGTTTGTCTTGTGTCTGAGCACATGGCTCTGTCTTTTAGTGATGTGTCGTCTGCGAACAAGCCGGCTCTAAGAGTCGATTCTTTGTAGCGAACGAGAAGAGCCGACTCCCATCGGAGAGAGCCGAATCTTCAGCCGGAGCCTTCTATTTTAGGCCAATTTAGCAATTGTGAATGGTTTGTGTGTTGGTAAGCAATTTTTTATTTAGTGTTTTCATAAAAGCCTTATTTTTTTCGTTACAAAGTTTTTTGTTACAAAAAAAAATACACATGCGGCTAATCACATGGGAGGACAGACTAGGATCATACCATTATGTGAAAGAAGGAATGGCACACGCTCCGAAGATAGCGAGTATAGTGGTACAGGCTGGGTACACAGAGCGACAGAGAGAAACGGGGGAGCCGGATTTTAAACGCAAGCGCGTTGGTTAAGGTAGGAAGACACTGCATTGTTGCAACATCGGTCCCCTCAAAGAGAGTCTTCTCAAAAACAGGACAAATAATCACAGAGAGGAGAAATCGCATCAGCACACCCAAGCTGAGACATCTGATATTTCTGAATGCCAACCTGCACTAAAGACTAAAGTGTCTAAATTGTTAAAACTTTTGCCTTTATTTATTTGTTTGCTGTGGTTCTGTGTTCAATTAAAGTTTTATTAAAATGTTAAATAGTAGTATATGTGTATTTTTTTTTGTAACGAAATAAGGCTTTTATGAAAACACTGAATAAAAAATTGCTTGCCAACACACAAACCATTCACAATTGCTAAATTGGGCTAAAATAGAAGGCTCAGAGTGATACTAAATAAAGAGCCATTTGGGAGCCGTAAGAGCCGGCTCTTCTAAGGGAGCCGAGCCAAAAGAGCCGAATCTTTGAAAAGAGCCGAACTTCCCATCACTACTGTCTTTGTCTATGTTGGCCATGTGCTCCTCTTGTCCTGCCCCCTTGTTTAGCCCTTGTCTTGCCCTCATTTACTTGATTGCGTCCACCTGTTCCTCATGTGCTTTCCTCCCTATTTATATGCCTTGTCCAAATACCCACACTTGCGGTCTTGGCCACCTGAGAGCGCGTGCGCGCGACAGGAAGTAAGTGCACAAGACTGTCCCAGGTCATAAAAATGGCAAAGTGCAGTGCCATTAACGCACACTAAATCCACACTGTCTCGAATACCACTCCGGAGCGCTATTCGGGGCTTAGTGTATCCCATCATGCATCATGTTCTGGAAATAAATTGTGAGACTTTTTGCCGAGATCTCGTGAGAGGTCACGGAAACCTTTCCAATGTAAGTTAAATATTAATATAATAATTAGATATTACATATAATTTGGTAGAAAAACTGTTTTTATCTTTTATTGGTGCAAAGATGAGTAGTGGTGATATTTATTTTGTACAACATTTACAACTGCTTTTTATCACTTAATTAGAAGCACCACAAATTAAAATTATGTAATGTTATAGGGACTACTGAACAGACATTTAGAAGTTGATTTTAAAATGCAAAGTAATTAAAATTTAAATAAAGCTATGTAAACACTTGCATTTTTACAACACTATAAGTGTGTCCCATGAGGTCCCTTACCAAAAAGTAGTATACTTCAAGTTTATTTTATTAAGTATACTTAAGTAAAGTTCAAGTATATTTTTAAGTATACTTTATGTAGTAAGTATACAAATATCAGT